TTCAAGTTCAGTTACACCATTTGTCACAGTTATCTATGGTGCTGGATGTTGCAGGTGTTTTTATCACTTGCTGCTTCAATTGGCCCCAATAAAACTAATGATACATACATGATAGTTTTTGTGGCTTGCACAAACTGCTTTTTACTTCATGCCAATCCTGATTGCCTACGGTACAGCAAAGTACATGAAAGGCAATCCGGTTTTTGCAATGACAGTCACAGCTGCATTGTTATATCCGGAGTTTATGAAATATATCGGTGCAAGTAAAACCTTGACATTGTTTGGCATTCCGGTAATGGCGAATAGTTACGCTAGTTCACTGCTTCCGGCTTTATTAGTTACGATTTTAGTCGTTTATCTTGAACGTTTTTTCAATAAAGTTGTTCCGGGAGTGTTGCGGGCGGTCTTTGCGCCAATGTTGACGCTTGCTGTAGCAATGCCAATTGCCTTTTTAGTTTTAGCACCTCTTGGTTCAATTGTTGGCAACTATGTTGTGCAATTCTTTGTATGGCTCTATGCTCATTTAGGTGGAATTACATTGGGACTCTTAGCAGGTTCACTTCCATTTATCATTATTGGTGGCATGAATATGATGTTTGCACCCTTTATGGTGCAAAACTTATCGTCACTTGGTTACGATGCAATATTTCGTCCAGCTTTTATTATGCATAACATGGCTGAAGGTGGTGCTTGTCTAGGCGTAGCAATCAGAACTAAAAATAAGGAATTAAGAACTGATGCCATTAGTTGTGCTATTAGTGCGATTATTTCAGGTGTAACTGAGCCTGCTTTATATGGTATTACGTTGAAATGTGGCACATTAAAGTATGTTATTAGTAGTGCAGCTGTTGGAGGTGTCTTGGCTGGCTTCCTTGGTGCTAAAGCTTTTGCAATGGGATATTCAAGTATTCTAGCTATTCCAATTTTTGGCAAAACAATTGTTGCTATTTCGATTTCAATTACTGCGACCATTGTCTTATCAGCAGCACTAACTGCAATTTTTGGTTTTGATGATACTTGGGTAGGTGAATAGAATTAATGGGTTTTTTTACTAAATTTAGAAAAAGCAAATCAGCCGCTTTACCATTAACAACATTAACTGCGATGGTTTCGGGTACACAAATAAAAATTGAAAATGTGAAGGATGAGGTTTTTAGTCAAAAAATGATGGGTGAAGGAGTAGCCATTAAACCTTCAAGTGGAAAAATCGTTGCTCCAGCTCCGGGAATTATTACTTCAATTTATCCCACTAATCATGCAATTAATCTCAAGCTGGATAGTGGAGTTGATGCAATAATCCATATTGGTATCGACACAGTTGAGCTAAAATGGCAAAGGAT